CAGAAGGACGGGAGGACGTCCGGTCTAATTAGCATATTATGCTTTTACTTTATACACGCACACACACACTTTTGGAACTTGCATAGATAGGTAGATAGATAGATATTGATTAGTTGATTCTAGTCATTGAAGATTCTTATTCATTTTAACCAATCTCGGTTGACTAAAGAGATAAGAGTATGAGACCATAATGGATGAGCATGGTTTTCCTTTAAAATAGAGTGTAGCCCTGACCGGTTTGGCTCAGTGGATGGAGCGTCGGCCTGCAGACCCAAGGGACCCAGGTTCAGTTCTGGTCAAGGGCATGTACCTTAGTTGCGGGCACATACCCAGTGGGTTGTGTGCAGGAGGCAGCTGATTGATGTTTCTCTCTCACTGATGTTTCTAACTCTCTATCTCTCTCCTTTCCTCTCTGTAAAAAATCAATAAAATACATTTAATAAATAAATAAAAATAAAATAGAGTGTATTTATAGATACTATGTACTAGTTCTGTACTGGCAGCCTTAACTTTCTTTTCCTTGTTAAAGATAAAATCACATCTCATTACTGTACAGACTGAGATGTAAGCCAGTTCTTGTACTCAGGTCTTTGCTGATGCCCCCGTATGAGTGCCACTCAGATTTCAATAAAAGACTCTCAGGTTTTCCTGGCCATAATAATGAAACACGGCCCTGCCCTGGCATGATTTCTAGTGCCCAGTTCTTACCTTCGTTCTCATCTACTTGTCTTACAGTATTGCAAACGCTGACCTCCCAAACTGATCTCTGTCATCGTATAATATGTGGTGGTTTCTGATAACGCAGAAGCTGTGCCCGTGGAGGAGAAAAACAAATATTTCTAGCTTTGGCCTCCGTAGAAGAATCGATTTTCATTCACACAGCACAGCAGTTTTGTGTGTGTGCTCAGGGGACTCTAACAAAATTGGAGGCAAATGAAAACTTTGCAAGGACAAAGCCACCTTTATTTCTTTCACGCTGGAGGGAAAGGCTTGGGCACCCAGGTGGAAAATATATTCTGGCAAAAAATAAGAGGGTCATTAATTTTCATTTAGCTATCAGCATATTTCGGATTAACTCAGTTGGTTAAAATTAAAAAGGTCATAACTACTAAGCACTTTCTTTTTCTTGTCTTTAGTTGCATTACTTAGTGAATATATGTAACAGACACCCCCTAACCCCCAAAAAGAGCTTGTGGTAGCTGTGAACATCATAGCATCTGTCCAGCCCAGAGACCAGGTTGGGTTCTGGCCTTCAGCTCACTTTATATCGAAGGTTTAATCTTTCGAAAACGTACTTTGGAACGACAAGATCACTAGTTTGTCTCCAGGTGCGCTAATGAACACTCCCTCCTCCAAGTCATTGCCGCACAGAACTAGGCGCTTAGTGGTCCTTCTAGTGCAGTGGTTCTCAACCTTGGCTGCACATTAGAGTCACCTGGGAATCTTTTTAAAATCCTGATTTCTGGGCCTCATCCTCTGGAAATTCTGTTTCTTTGTTACTAATGCTGTGGCCTCACCCCATAACAAAGAAACAGAATTTCTGGAGGATGAGGCCCAGAAATCAGGATTTTAAAAAGATTCCCAGGTGATTCTCTAATGTGCAGCCAAGGTTGAGAACCACTGCAATAGTGGATGCGTTTATCATCCCTGCCTCTTAAAACATCTCCTTGACAAATCGGTGTTTAAACTTCTTCTCATTAAATGAACACAAATCAGTATTATTGGTTGGGTTCTGGTTCTTTTTAAACCTGTATCTGCTTTCTAGTTTTTCTACCCATGTTTGCAAGAGCTAAACAGACACAGTAGACATCACAGCCGACATAAGGCTGGGGAGGCACCAGGTCATAATTAATTCAGGCCTCAGTGGCACCCAGTTGGCACCGGGAGAGATCTGACCTTCACGTTGATGTGTTCAAAGCCAGTTATTTCACCAGCTCCTTGGCTGAGATCCTTCCTCTTCCAGTGTTGATGCAGTAGGAGCTCAGGGCCTCCTGGAGGTCTGCTGCATTTAGCACCGTCCCTTAGGACAGCCACTGGGGTGCCAGGCCGGTGGGCACATGCCAGGAGGGTGTCCTGCTGGGCAAGGCCACCGAGAGCCCTTGGGATGGCGCCACAGCAGTTTAATCATTTTAAGTAGAAGGGTTGTCCTCACAGAGGTAATGTAGGAAGTCTGCTCCTCACGTCTCCACTTCCGTGCCCACCAGACTGCTGTCTCCCCCTCGGGTTCAACTCTCCTTCCTCTCCTTCTCCAATCGCTTGTGGAACTGTAATTTTCCATGAATAGTAATCACTTAAAAGGTTCCCCTTGCCAATGGTATTTTCCAAACACCAAAGCCTTGGTCTAAAGGGCTAGGGGCAGGTTTTGGGGCTCTGAGAGAGGGGAGGGAGATAGAAACATCAATGATGAGAGCGAATCAGTGATCAGCTGTCTCCTGCACTCCCCACACTGGGATCACGCTGCAACTCGGGCATGTGCCCTGACCGAGAATCGAATCTCCTCCTGGTTCCTAGGTCCACACTCAACCACTGAGCCATGCCAGCCGGGCTCTGAGAGCCTCTTAAAGAAGATTGGGGTGAAGGGGGGCCTGGAATCATTCCATGTGGGTTGTGGATTCTGTCGGTGAGTGAGATACCTCCGGCTGTTCTGGGTCACCGGGGTGGGGTCTCCACGGGAAACGCTTGGGCGGCTGGGAGTGGCGTGTGAAGCGGCTTCCTGTGAGTGGGACTCGGGCGTGTGTTTGGGTACATAACCAGGAGGAATGGAGGGTAAGAGGCGTGGGTGATGTGGCGGGGGGGAGCACCCACAGGCCTCAGAGCAGGGCTCTCAGACTTCCACGTGCACGAACCCCAGGGTCTTGGCAAATGTAGAGTCTGCGGCGCTGCTTCAGGGGCATCCAGAGCCTGCTTGTCTGCCAGGCGCTGGCAAGTGGGTGCTGCCCGGACCACACGGGGAGTGACAGGCCCTGCAGCGTGGTCCTCAGCGTCGGCTGCGGGGTCCCACCTCTGGGGAGCCTTTCCCACCCCTGGGGCCAGACTGTCCTCCACCGATGAAGTCAGGCTGAGTGTGTGTGGGGCTGAGTGGATGATGGGACTCCTTCCTGTCTCTGGAAATTTATCAGATGTATGCCGCAGGGTCGCTGTCCGTGTGTCCTTCGAGTGTGTGTGGACTAAAGTGAGCAGCTACCTTTCTGGTATCAACACTATTTTGAGAAACACGAAGGTTCCCCTGGTTTCCTGCAGCCCCAGGCCTGCTCTGCCTGTGTTCTCCCCGTCAGAGCCCTGGCCGGGGCCGCACGGATATTCTCGCTGTTCGCAGTCACTGTGGCCTGTGGCCTGTTCCCGCACAGCTAGCTGCCCCTGTTCTCCGGGCAGCCCGCTAGGGCTGTGAGGTCTACGCAGGGATAAGGCTGGGTGTTTTCTCTTCCCGCAGAGCAGGGCTCTCCTCCCTGCAACGTCGGAGCCACCCCTGAGTCTCTGATGTAATGGACTGGGGAGGGTCCCTGCATTCGGGGGGTTTGAAAAGCTCCCTGTGATTCAGGGACGAGAACCAGCCTGTAAGATAACATGGCGCTTAAAAATTAGATGTATTTCTATTTTCTTCAACATTTAAAAAGTGATTCTAAAAAATAAGGTCAGACAATAAACAAAACATAGACATTATTTTTAAAATATACACGTAATGATTGCATATATATACATATATACATACTTATTTATTTCCCACAGCCAATACCTGGTGTTTTTGAGGAGGCCAGTGGGCAAAATGAAGAGATATTTGAGCTCAATTTGCAGTACACCGGAGAAAGTATTCCTGACGTACTATCATTAGGGGCAAAAATAGAATATTGGGGACTGGCTATGGTTATGAGAAATATTAATCATGCTGTCAACTCTGATTGCCTTGTGCTGGTTAAAGAAAGGACATTCTAACCTGGATGGGAATTGTATGTGCCCCCGCCCCCCACCCCATGCAGTCCATTCTCATTCAATAACTGCCTATTATCATGGAAAGATTAACAACCTAGTTGCCCAAACAATGGCATCCCACCCCAGCCTGCATTGCCTACTCCCCCATTCCCCCAAGTAATCTTTGTCCTACTCTATCTAAGCAGCTGGCTTCTGGGGGCTGCAGAGCAGATTTTTGTGGCTGACCTGCTGCTCTCCCATGCTGCCCACAATATTGGAATAAACGCTCATATATGATCCAGCCCTGTCTCTGCTGAATTGGCTCAAGTAGTGACAGGCAGCCCGGACCCCTTGGCTGTCCAGCATCACTATCACCCACAGTATAACAAGGGCAATGCTCGCTGCTGTAACAGGTGAAACCAAACCTTTGGTTATTGTAACAACACAGCCCCGTGAAGAGTTCCCGGGGCCCATGGTCGGCAAACCGTGGCTCGCGAGCTATATGCGGCTCTTTGGCCCCTTGAGTGTGGCTCTTCCACAAAATACCACACGTGGGAGCGCACGTACAGTGCGATTGAAACTTTGTGGCCCATGTGCAGAAGTCAGTATTTTGGAAGAGCCACACTCAAGGGGCCAAAGAGCCGCATGTGGCTCGAGAGCCACAGTTTGCCAACCACTGCCCTAGGCAACAATGTAACAACGTAGCCCTGTGAAGGGTTCTCAGGGGTGGTCTTCCTGGGCGTGGTCTGTCCTTCAGGGCCCAGGTTTGTGGCTCCAATGTGTCCCAAGATCGGGAACCCCAGGAGAGAGAAGACAGTGAGCAGGACTCTGGGAAGGTTCCCACCCTCTGGGCAGTGCCCGCGTGCTGGCACCCCGTTGGCCAGAGCTCAGGCACGTGGCCACTCCCACCTGCCTGGCCAGGAGCTGGAAGGCTAGGGGACAGCCAGCCCTCCGGGCCTCAGGTGTCAGGAGACCCCCAGAAAGGCGCAGGGACCCGAGGCCGGCCGTGAAGACCCCAGGCCCCCGAGGTGCAAGGGCCTGCAGAGGAGGTGCTCTGTTAAGGGCATGTGCTCTTTTTCTTCTTTTCTCCACAGATATCGCCAACGGCAGCAGTTCAGGGGGGTACCGCTCGCCTCCCAGAACCAAAGAAGTCATCATCAATGGCCAGACCGTGAAACTGAAATATTGTTTCACCTGCAAGATTTTCCGGCCCCCTCGTGCCTCTCACTGTAGCCTTTGTGATAACTGCGTAGGTGAGTAGAAGCGATCACCGCCTCTGTCCCCGGCTCTGCTTGTGCTCGAACGCCTGTGGCTGCTGGAGTGGCCGGGTGCCTTTGCTAAAAGGAGTGCATCTCTGTAAGCCTGTGAACCGAACACTCAGTAATCGTTACTGTTTCACCGTCTTTGCCTCCTGCCGCTGATCCCGGTCACCGAGCCTAGTTACCAAACCCTGTATTTTCCTTTCACACCCTGCAGCACCCCCTGTCCCGTGCTGTACCCGAGGCCTTCTCCCTGAGCGCGCATACCAGGGGGGTTCCTTGTTCCCTGGAGCCGCCAGATCAGCAGGCACTTGACATAAGACCACCTCGCCCCGAGGTCCCCCGGTTGCCCAGTGAGCGGCAGCGGGAGTTGCTGGCTGTGCTCTGTGTGGTGCCTCCAGGGGCAGCTGGTGTGGGGACATTCCGGAGCACGTAGGCCCCGAAACCCCGTTCCCTCCTGCAGAAAGGACCGGACGCCTCGGAGCAAACTTGTTCCCTCGGTAACACACGATTGCCAACATTCTCTTTGAGTCTGGCAGAATAGGTAGTCTCTTCTCCTTGGGGAAAGTAAAGTGGTGTCATGTACTTCCTGCTGTGCAAAGCCGTTTTCCTCTTATTTATCTGAAACATGCTTTATTCTAACTTGAATCGTGTACGGTTGGTTAGAAAGGCCAAGATTCCCCCATCGGGCCATGTCTCGGTTTTACTGGCCCACGTAAATCACCTGTAGCCTTGCTCCCGGGGGGACAGCATGGAATTCGGTTCAGTCTTGCCCAGGTGGGAAGTAGCCTGTGCTTAAGAGCCTGGAGTCGGGCACCACATGGCCTGGATGCAGATACGAGCTTTGTGACGTACACAAGCTACTTCAGCTCTCTGTGCCTTGGTTTTCTCATCTCCAAACGGGGTCCATAGCAGTACCTTCCTCGTGGGATGGTTGAGAGAATTCATGATTTAACACACGCAAAGCACTTGGAATAGTGCCTGGTGTACAGCGAATGCTCTGTAATTGTTAGCGCTGTCGCTGCGATTAACGCTGCTCCCTTCATACTTTTGATTGGCTACCCCTGGTCAGTTTCCTAATCTCCTATAGCAGCGGTTCTCAACCTGTGGGTCGCGACCCCTTTGGGGGTCGAATGACCCTTTCACAGGGGTCGCCTAAGACCATCGGAAAACACATATATAATCACGTATTGTTTTGTGATTCATCACTATGCTTTATTATGTTCGATTTGTAACAATGAAATTGGGGGTCACCACAACCTGAGGAACTGTATGAAAGGGTCGCGGCGTGAGGAAGGTTGAGAACCACTGTCCTATAGCCATGTGGTGGGAGGACCAAAAGCATACCTGGTCCTCCATGTGAGGGCGCATCGGGGTTTCTACAGGGACACTGACAGCGTGTTTGGTTTCTCACACCCTTCCTGCGGGCTCCAGCTCAGGCCCATCTTGAGGACATTTTTAAGCCAACACATCACAGTGGCTTACGTATCTTCAGGGGAACCACCTGTAGGGATTTTCAGGACCCTTTGGGGGCTGTAATTCTGCAGTTACTAACATTATGGGGTGGAATGTGTGTAAGTTACACTTTTTCACATAAAATCTGATTTGCACACCTTCCCTGGAGTCTAAAGACTTCGTCCCATTTCTGCTATGGTAGGGAGCTAACTTCGAACCCCCTTCTCTTTATCGTTTGTGGAATGTTTACTAGACACCTGACTGCGTCTGTTCATTCATTTGTACCAGTTGGTCTCAGTCCTCTGTGTCTTATTTCTAGGCTACCGTATTTGCCGGCGTATAAGACGATTTTTGGGCCCTGAAAAATATGCCTCCAAGTGGGGGGTCGTCTTATACGCCAGGTACACTTCAGATAGACTGCCCATAGTGCTTGCCCCGTGCCATAGTGGCCTCCCGATGCCCGCCCACTTCATTCCACATACCGTTCAGGCATCAGCAGCGCTGCTGGGTG